TCCTTAACACTAAACTGCTCCTCCTTGTCCCAGCTGTCTTTAGGAGCTTATATTCTCCAAAGATTTCTCCTTTGAGGATTAGAGCTGTAGTTACAAGCCTGTGGGGTTTATTCTTCCGCTTTATTTAAACTCACTCAACTGCTGATTCTCTAACGCCAGATTATTTCCAGCAGTCGACTCTAGCGTACGCTCACAACTGCTAACCAAAGCTGATTTTAAAAGAACATCACATTTCATTTCTTCCTGTGAGAGTATGGTACTGATACTTACACACCTTATCACACGTTTCCCCTTCCTACAGCTCCGCAAAGTCGGGCTGTTACACCAGGACCTGTAGGTGCATTTCTCTCTTTAAAAACTCTCTCGTTATCTTTATCAGAATCTGACTTTGCAGATAAATAGATTTCCTTGTGTTGTCCCAGGAAGAATTTTCTCTACCTTTCTCAAAGTCATATTAACCCAGACAGTTTGTTTGACCTATGTTATCTTCTCTTACTCCTCTCTACTCCATCACAACGCCGGCGTCGGATGCAGCACTCTCCTCCGAGTGCGCTCTACCCTGTTCCACCCCAGCTCCAGCCACCGCTGCTCCTCTGCATTCTCCTGCCTTTGGTCACCGTTGCCCCTTCCAGGGCTTACAGGTGGTTTTGTTGTTTCTCCTCGGCCATGTTCGGTGTCAGGCTGTGATTTGTACACCCCTTCGACAGCATCCCTTAGCTGACTGCCATTCTCAGCAGCATTCATACTTCCTCCATGCTCTTAATCCGTCTGCCATCAAAGACTTTATTTGCTGTTCTGTCTGTGTTTACTTTGTTTTCTTTCTCCTCCTACACATAATTGCAGAGATCTCTTGAGCTCCTCCCAATCTTCCCCCATTTTCTTCTTAAAGCTGCCCGAGTCAGGGATGCAGCCTCGGCCCCAGAGAGCAGCTACCACCGGTTCTTGGGTGTACCAACCCTTCTCCAAAACTTGCTTCATGACTTCCACAGATTTGCAGCACATGGCAGCACCTCTAAAATGGCAGGACAGGGCCTTCTAACTCCAGACTTGTCCCAAACCATCGCTGTGAAGTTCTGCTTTCCACGTTGACATCTCTGGCAGCATCCCCAAGCATTCACTGTATAGTCGGTAGGGTATCTGTAAAGAGACCTAAACCTTAAAAGGCAGTAAAAGGTATGTTTGTACACACTTTAGGAAAAATTAAACTGTTGTCTTTCATCAGATTTTCCCAAAGTGTGCTATTCTGTTCTGACTGGATCTCTTCTGGCCCATCTTCCCAGACGAGTCTGGGTTTCCGGAGGGGCAGAGCTCTGCCTCCATGGCAGGGTGACTGCAGAAGCCCTATTTGAGCATCCCTGGAGCCTTATGGCATGGGAGAGATGCCCACCACAAGTTTTGACCTTCTCACTCACGTGTCTACCAGGTGTTTGAGGCTGATGGTGGCAATTTGCCCTGTTATCCCCAACTGGCAGCAGCAGTCGGTCTGCAAGCGCAGCCACAGGACTGAAAAGCAGGCAGCCTCCCCAGCTGGGCAGCGAGGACAAAGACAAATCCAGGCCAGCAAGTAATACGGACTAGTTTGAGGCATTAGTGTATTTAGATCTTGACAGAAAGGATCAGTTTTCCATGTATGTTTAGCAGCCAGTGATGCTATGCCATTATCCCTATGCCCGGGATGGTCCTGTTTCTATTTTTTCTTTTAGTCTCAGCTTGAATTTAAGCTCTGCTTTAAAATAATGAGATGCTTTTGGCTCACCAGAATAGGTGATTCTGAAGATCACAGCAAGGATCCTGCACGCAGTAACTCAGACGGCACCAAGTCTGTAAAGGGCAAGCTAGGAGGTGGTGTGAACACATTGCTTTTCCTCTGGTTTATGAAACAAATCTAAAAAGTTCTGCTCAAGGAGAATTCTCCACTGAAGTCACAGAAATGGCACAGAATATCACTTCTTTCCATTATAGTTTCTTTTTTTTTTTTCCCACAACTACCCTTGAAAATTGAGCAGTCCTGATATTGTAGGATAGGGGTTCCAGCAAAATGAAGTACAGATACTACCACTCTTGCCTACACATCCCTGCCTCCCAGTGTTGCTAAGAAGTCATTAATATATTTTAATTTTAATGAACCAGCCTAGCGTACTTATAGGAAAACCAGCTGGTTTTGTTTTCTCTCTATAGACCTGAACAATTTCATGAATAAAGATTTGCAAAGAGTTTTAGAACTTGAAACTAGAAATATATCCATCTCTCCAATTCCTTGATCTAATAATGCATTTTAAAAATGAGATTTTTGCAAGAATAATGCATAATATTACCGCCTTCGCTTCTGGCCTCAATGATGCTACGATTCTGTGACTTTATGTTACCTTAAGCACCTACAATTAAGTCTAGATCAAATGTTTCCAAAAGAGGCAGGATCCTAGTAAAATCCCTGCTGGTTTGGGTATGGTATTTTGCCTTTTAATGAAATATTGTACTCATTGAGTATGTTAATTTACTTGACTGTTGCAAAGAATGTTGTTATCCTGAAGCAAAAGGAACCTTTTCCTTTATAGGAAGCCATAGCAACAAGAAGGATTGACTCCTAAATTCACAAGAAAAAGATCCTGTTATTTTAGGGTAGCCAGAGAAATAACTTTTGTCATCATTGTACAGTGCATTTGAAGGAAAGCTGATAATTATACATGAGAAGCAGGATGTAATTTCTCAGAACATAAAGATTCGGAAGAAATTAGAGACCGTTAAATCAAATTATTATAAAAGTTATAAAACAGTCATTAAAATACAAAATTGAGGAATTCATGACAATTCTTTGTATTTTCTGAGTCTCTCACTTTAACACAGTTTCTTTTCCTCCTGATAAAACCACGTTTGCTCTATGAGGAGTACAACCTTATTTCATAGAGGACATCTTTTGTTCTAGAGAGCTGGAACCGTTTTGCTGTGTCGCATTTCCCTTGGTCCTCGCTTTAAGCACAAGCAATGCTCCTCAGCCGGAGATGTCCCGGCAGCCCAGCAGCACTGCCCTGGCAGGCTCTTGCAGGTTTCCCGTGCCATGAGACGTCGGCCGGGACCTTCATCGTGCCTCTCCTAAGAAAGCAGAATTACCGTCTTAAGCAGATGGATTCAAAACCCACAAATACGTCACTATGGCTATTGCGCTGTTTCCTAATCCATGCTACTGTAGCAAAGCCACGTTGTTTTTTAAAAAGTAGACATTGCTGAAATCAATTTAGTTCATCAGTCTTCACTGGACAATCATCATTTCTGTAGCTTTGTGTAATTTTGCTTTATATCTGTCACATATAATGGGAAAACCCCTGTTTGCGCCACAGTCAGCTAAGCAGAAACCTCTGTCTGAAACACAGCACAGCCCCCAGAAGAATCCTCTGCCCTCCTTTATGTCCTTCACCGACTTCGTGTCAGGCTTGCTGGAAGCAGCCAGCCCCTGCGGTCCTGCAGCCCAGCACCCGAGCACCACGGCAGGGTGTACAAACTGCACGTCCCCTGGGATGCTCCCGGCCGGAGCAGGATGGAGATCACCCTCATCTCCACCTTTCCTTTCCCACTGCCCCAGTTGCCAAGGTGGGAACTAGTGAGGGACGTCTGGGGACTGACTGACTGACCCGTTGGTCCACAGCTCTCCCTCCTCCGCTGCCACATGCACAAACTACCCCTATACAGGGGTAGGAAACCTCGATACTGGACTTTCAACCCTTTTTATGTTAAAGACTGCCCAAGATGTCACCAACTTTCATGGATTTTAAATTTCAAATAAAATTATAAAGTTTGAGTAATACAGTTCAAATTCCATTTTATTTTAAAAATGTGATTTGAATTTATCATCAGCAACGACGTATTTGTCAAGATGTCAAATAAATATTTTCAAGATTGGAAACATTCATCTATATAGGCAGAATTCTTAGCGTCAGTAATTTGGTAAAGAAACATCATAACTTTTTGTTTGGGAATATATTCATCTGTTATTTCACTTAGAATCATTTCTGCAGCATATTAACCTGAAAAGTAATTGTAGGGGAAAAAATGCAAAATTGGACAAGATTGGAGAGTGTGCTCAGCTATTACCTGCACATCCATTGTTGTCAACTCGCTCACATTTTTTTTCATTAGTTTCTTGTTATAGTCAAGATATGGTCAATGATCTTTTGAGCTTGGTAATTTTGTTAAGTCTTTTTTATTAAGAGTATCGAATTGCTACATTGAGATAGTAGCTTGCTTCTGTGCAAGATTGATGGGACTGGTATTTCATTTTGCATAGCACTATTCAAAGCTAATAAAAAGGCACAGAATAATGAATTTTAAACTAAAATTATAATGAAAAGCCACAGGTGATTGTCTCATTAGACTGAATGCTGGAGAATTGTGCTCTTCTCTTAACTTTTTCTGTTGTTTGTATTGGTTGCCCCAGGTGAAGTAAACACCTTCAAAATGTGTTTGATGTTTCTGAGAAATGTTTTCTTCTGGAAAGACTTTAATAATTAAAAAGATGTGAATTTTTAAAAGTTCACCAAAGCACAAAACTATTACTTAAAAACATTCTTTGTTCAAAATTGTTTCCTTGACTTATATTCATCATAGGAAATTACCTTCTATAAAGTGAGCAAAACCCCCTTTTCTAGCCAGGTTTCAGTAATTCCCAGGAGAAATGTTTCTGAGCTTGAGAACTCCAAGGGTGGCTTTGCCAAGGTGGCAGGCAAAAATATTTGCATATTTGGAGTGTGGTGGTCCCGCTGTTATACACTGGTGACACATGAATACCATAGTTGTGAAAAGAAAGACGCTGACGTATGTCGTTCATAAGCACAAAAGTCTGGTCGACTGCATGTCTGTCACAGGCCTGTGACGGCCAGCCCGATCTTTAAATAAAATTGTCGTGTCTGTTGCATGACTGTTTGCTGTCTCATTCTGTATTTGTCTTCCATGTGTGATTAACTCCCAAATGTTCTCTTTTTTTTTTTTTTCCTTTTCCCTTTTTGTAGAAATTATTGAGCCTACTACCTCTAGTCCTGTCTCAAGCCCAGGTCAGTATCCACATACATTCACGAAGTATGTCTGGGTACTTTTTCTCAGGGACTCATAACCGATGCATTGCCATATCAATAACTGGAATTGATTATGGGCAGCTTTGTTGTGGTAGTGCTGGACTGTCTCCTTCCTGTCTTTGTGCATCCATTGGTTTGTCTTCCCTCCAGGCTTCATTTGTTGTCCTCTTCTTAAATTTCCCCTTCTGAGAAAACCTCTCCCCGCATCTGTGTTTTTCTCCCATCCATCCTCCGCCCCAGGGTGATGCAGTGGACGCACACAGGGCAATGCAGCCGCGCGGTGCAATTACTGTGTTTTCTCTTTGTGATAACCTGACTCTTCTCTGGTGTTGCTGTAAACGTGAACGTTGGTCTGTGGTTTACAAATTTCTTGCTGTCTCTCATCACTGAATGGCTCATAGGATGGATCTAAGACCCCGTTGAGAGGTTCTCCTCATTTTAGGGTGCCAGAAGGTGTTCCTGGAGAGCTGAAAAGCCTGCCCTTCGGCTTGGCAGGTGGTCAGAGGTCCTGACCCTCCGTGGTGACTCCCCTTTTTCTCGGGGGTTTCCCTTGCTGCTCCCCAGCAGGATACCCTCCGTGGAGATGCTCAACCTGGTGCAGGCTATCGAACCGGGGCTGCCCTGCCCAGAGCTTCTTAAAAGATGGCTTCAGGTCAGCCTGTAGCAATATTCCCAACCACTTCCCAAAGGGTTTGGAAGGGGTAAGTCGCACATCCCACGTACCATGCTCTAGCTCCCATTGCTCTACGTTAAACAGCTTCCCCAGGACGCAGTTACAGTGTCAGACCCAGCAGGTTGATATCATTTCCCTGTGCACAGTGTGGTAAGATGTGCAATGCTTGGGTCTCCTCCAAGGAGGAGCCTGGGAAGCGTTATCAGGATCATCTGGGAGACAAACAGAAGGAGAATTTTCCTCTGGCAAAATGGACACGACGCATACTTTTGATTCCAAATTAAGACAAAAAGATTAGAAAGACTGTACCAGAAAGGCACCGCGATTGAGGTAATCTAGTCCCCAGCTAAAAATGCAGATTAAATAGAGAGTTACAAAAGAAAAACTAGGCAGCAGACTGATCCACCCACCTTAGAATTTACAGGACTAGAAAGACAAGTGTATAAATCTTCGATGCTTTTAATTAAAGAGCTTAGGAAGGGCAATCTCTGGTGTCCTCTGCGGAGATGCTTGCAGATCGCCTGTCTGCCTTCCCGTGTGCCCTCCTTCGGCAGCCAGTTTTCCAAAGCACTCGGTCTCTCTTACGTGCAGAGGACCTACTGCGTCTGCAGGGCAAAGCCGCTCACGAAAGCAACTGGGCAATTTATGAATGACCACCGTTCATCCCAAAACACAAGAGCAGGAGGGGAGGGATGGACTTAACGTGCAAAAAGCTGATAGTGTTTGTAATAAAAGTTCCTATCCTTGTGATTTTTCACAGTTGCTTTGGACTACCAAGCGGTTGAAAATAAGTTAAGAAGTTATTTTTGTAGCTAACTGAAGGCAGGAAGAAGAAAAGAGTCTCAGATGATACGGCAGTGTGCAAAGTAGTGATAGGAGAACCTCAGTCTGTGTGTCGTTTAACGCTGGGTTTTGTAATTGGTTGAAAAGTCCCCTTAGCGTGATACTATTCCAAACTCTGTTCAGGGAACGATGGTTTATGCTGTTTGATTACGGCTGGAATGGACTCTAGTAACATTTCGGTTTTTAATCTCCATAGGTAAGCACTACAACACAGAAGCAGTCTTTTCCCACTTTAAAAAATTGATATTCAAGTAATATAGCTTTTGAGATGTGTTTGAATTCTTGCTGTCTGCAGAAATGTATAACAAATGAGCAAAATTATATGTATTTTTTGGGAGCAGGATGGAGATGGGGGAATGGAAATGAATAATTATCCCTGCCTTAATTCTGAGTGCACAGTGTTAAAGAGAGAGGTCTTTTCCCAAAGTACAGTATGGAATTGCAATATGAAAGCCTTTGGACACAACAAAGGAAAAAAAATAGAAGCTAAAGTTGAAAGAGATATGAAACTACATGAGCTAATCCAACTTTAAATGACTGAGGAAAGGACACTGAGGTCAGTTTGCAGATGAAAAACAACATCTGTTCCCCTGAACGACAACAGGAACCTTTTTTTTTTTTTAAAAGAAAAGCTTTCAAAATAGATAAAAATTTAGGATTGAATCCTTCCTCCTGGAAGTCAGCACTGGTATCAGCAGTGGCATTGCCATTCAAATGTTCTGTTTGCCTTACATATCTAAATAGTGCTGTGATAGTCCCTCTACTTCTCTAATTTTAGTCTGGTAAATAGCTGGATAATACCATCACTATTGCTACGAAGTTATACAGCTGCGGAGGTAATTACAAACTTTCCAGAGTGTCAGAAACTGAGTTCCCCGTGTGCTGCAGTATCAGCAGAGAAGACAGTAGGTTAGGGTGGGAGATCATGGCAGAAAACTTGGTTTATTTGTTCATAGCTGCTCATGACAGTAAAATAATATTTGTGGCTTTGTTTAAAGTCAGCCCAGGAGGTTTTAGCCAGCAGTGCCCATTGGATGTCTGTTTGTTTGCCCTGCTTTCCCTCGTGCAATGACAGGAATACAAAACTGGATACTCCTGTAGAAACTCCTTTTATCTCGTGTCTTGCATCAGTCAGAATGCAGAGCATCAGCCTCCTTCTTACTTAATCTAGGCTTTGCAGCTAGTTGGTTAATTATTGCTGTCATTTGCAACTTCACTTCATTGCAGCTTCAATGGATGTTTTTCCTGGAGAAGGTTTTACTGCTGCAAGGAGACAGATCCTTCTCCAGTGTTCCAATATCAAGCCAAAAGTTATGAAAAAAAAAAAAAACAAACACAAAACCAAGTCAATATTTAAGTGCAGACAGATAAGGGAGAATTGCAGGCCAAGGATCTCCCATAAATCAAGGCAAATGACTGACAGGATGTTCAACATTCTCAGCACTGGTAGAGTTTTCCAGGATCTTTCTTAAAGCCCAAACTAGGACGTTACTTTCTGTAGAAAGTGAACAATCTGTAGTAAACCTGAAGATCTTGAAACCACCTTCTGTTGAGATTTTAGTTCAACCCTGAATACACAGTAATGACACTATTCTCAAAACATCTTTGAAAATTCTTCTCATTGTAATTAGTGATTATAAGTATATGCATATGTATTTTTGTGTATGGAAGGAGTAGTGTGAAAAGAAAATGTCACTGCCGTCTTAGGATGCTTAAACGCGGAGTTGCTACTGCCTCTGAGTCCTCCAGGTCACTTTTCTTACCAGCCACCTATTTTCTCAGTGTTGCTTAAGCACTACTTAGCCAAAGGATAATATTAATAACTCCCGTCTAAACAGGCACTGATGATGAGGCTCCAACGTTTTCTACTCTTCTTAGAGTGTGCAAACCCTGTCAGTATTGAAACTGGCACATACAAAAGACCTCTCATCTCACCATTTTTTCTTCTTGTATTCAGTATAATTACTCTCGTCATCTTTTTTGACCTTCTAGTGTTAAAAATTATTTATAAGATGCATGTGTAAAATTTCAGCACAGAAGTTTTGTGACATTTTCTAGATGTTCATAAGCCATGTGACAACATCCTCAAAATGTCTTTCAATGATTACCTATAAAAAACATTTTGATTTAAAAAAAAAAATCCTTAAGGGTTCCTTACAATACCAAACAATTGGAGAAAAAGCTTTTAAAGCATCTATAACTAATGCAAACCCAACACTGTGTTTGAGAGCTGTAGTGATGTACTTGTGCATTCCTCTGCTAGAGCCCCTTTTTACATTTGGGAGTTTACTTTCTCAATTTTAAGTGACAACGCTTAAAGCATGTAGAATTAGCTGCAAAAGTTAAAAAATTGGGGCCACAGTTGGTATCTATTTTGTCAGCCACTGCCAGGAGCTGTAGTTACTTACAAATCTTTCATCCTTTAGCATAATTAGCTCACAGGTGGTGTCTCGAAAAGCCTTTGAAGATGCTGCTGAATTCTTAACGCTGACTAAATAAGTAACAGTGACAGGTCAGAGAGAATAATTGAGGAATCTTCTTTAATTAATGATTTCACATGTTATGAGGCACTTTCATAAAAACTGGAGTTGGAGAGAGAAGGACTTATTTAATTTTCTCAGGAATAAAAGCATATGTTTAAATGAGCCCTCCGGGCAGGTTGGACAACTTCTTGAACTTCAGTTACTTCTCCCTGATCTGCCTTACTGCATAGCTAATAAGTTTAATATGCCAGAATACCAAATAATACCTAATCTCAAGCAGGCTCTGTTTCATAGGAAACATGTCAACCCCTCCATTTTTTGTCTTCATATGCCATTGCAATTCCCATTTTAATCAATAAACTACTTGCGTAAGGAAAACTACAGGGTTGGATTCTGGATCTCAGAATTTATGGTGTTCTTTCTTGCCATTAATTTTGTCTTTATGTGATGAAAACACCATGTACCTTGAGCTAGAGATTTGCGCATGTGGGCAGGAGACACATTGGTACAGCCAATACTGGAGTAGAGATGAACCCTGAGGCACAAGAGGATGACCAGCCTTGAGAAACAGCCAGTCGTTCATCTTCATCAGGCAACACTCAAACTGTTTTTTTTATTTTCCCAGTTTGTGGAATTTCTTCCAGAAAAACTAAACAAGTATGAAAAGACGATCAAGATCTAGGATAACAGACCCTGGATCACTGCAAGTTTAACTTCTAAATCACATTAGAAAGAGATGTCTGTTTTTTCAAAGAGCTGTTGACTCTCGTTGCCACTTCACTGCCTCCCAAATAATCCCACCCTGGGAAGGAGGGCAAGGTCTCCCAGACTGCCCTCCATCTCCTTCATTTGATGGTTGAATCACCCTCCAACACCTAGTAGAAGAACACCATAGGTTCATGTCTCCCAGTTAACAGATATAAAAGCGTATATAAGGTTACCAAGACTTGCTATGAGGAGGTTGGCATCAAACAGGTAAA